AGTGCAACAGGATAGGCCGCCTCTGAGCGCGTGGCCCATTCCCCTTGTGGAAGACGACCCCAAGGCTGGTGCACGTGACCAAGCTCAGCGCGGCACAAACTAGCCAAGTCACCAAGAGAAGAGAGACTTCCCCACACAGCCGTGCGCTTCTTGCGCAAGCCCCCATAACAGCAATTGTCAAAAACAACAGTTCTGATCTTATGCTCCAGAGAGGCCTGCACAGCACTGAGTGCTGAGGTCACCCACATGAGTGAGGAACATGGATTCTCTATGCTCCAAGCAATATCCTTGGAATCGCAAAAGACTGCAACATCCCTGCAAAAACTGTAAAGTCTGTTCGCGTGACTCACCCTGGACCTTAACGCAATGGGCAAACCCGGCAGCCCATCAGGTGCCTGAAAGGAACGTAGAGGAGCAGGCCCGCCCGGGATGTTACGCGCGGCACTGGCAGTGGAACAGGGCGGGGCCATATGCACATAACAAACCCTGCCTGATCTCAGGATTTGCCACACCAGGGCTCTGCCAGAGGAAGAAAGCAGGTCAACGCAAACAATTGGGTGCACTCCGTCTCGCTTGCAGTCCACTGCAACTGTATCAAAACCCTCAGCACGCAGTGCTTGACTGAGGCGCGCGCAACCTGCAAACAACTCTAAACACACTGTCCGATGTCCCTGGCCGGATGAATCTCGCAGCAGGGCATCAACTGGGGAAAAACCTGGCGCGCTATCACCTAATGCAGACTCTTCACCTTGGCCCTTGGAAGGTGCAGCCTGGGAAGGAGAATTGGAAGGAAAAATATGACTAGGCACCTGGGAACCCTTGTCGAAGAAACACAGTGGAACTGAGGCCGGAGCAGGAGAACGCTGACGAGAAGCAACAGGCTCAAGCCCCTCATCAGTGATCATGAGGGGGGGGGTCACAGGAACGCCCCCCCGCAGAGAACCGGATCAGTTCTCGCACGCGCTGGCCCCATGGTCGGGACTGCCACACTTCATGCAAGCATGCAGGCCGCGCTCACACTGCTTGCCGGCACTTGTGGTCCACGTGTCACGAGAACACCCATGCAACAAGTTGCAGTCGAAACAGATTGGCATGCCGTTCTTGTTGGGGTCCAGGCCTTTCAACTGTGATGGAACCGATGTCTGAGTGGGCTTTCCTTTGGGCCTTTGGGCACACCCTTGGCTCCACCTTTTGGGGCACCTTTAGGTCCTCGAGACTCCGCTTTTCCACCCTTGCCGTCACCTTTGCGGTTGATCCTGCCGCCCTTGCCTTTTTCCTCGCTGGAGGCCTCAAAGGGACGCTTACGTTCCTTAGGCAGCGGCATGACGTGAAACGCAACAGCAGAACCATCACAATGCTGCACGATGGCCGCATCGACCGCGCGGACCACATCTGTGGCGGGAAGGGAAGGAACAGTAGCAGCGACACGCTGCCAAAGCGCCCTGTCAGCCTGGAGTAACTGGTCCAAACCAGGCGCAACATAGTTGGGCGGAGGCGAGCGGTGCAGATGCTCGAACAGGCCGCGAATGTATTTCTCATGCACTGCGAAACTGGCAACGTTTGCAACCTCTAGTGCAACACCGCGCCTACTCAAGGCCTGGTACACACGCAGCTCAGAGGAAAGGTCAACCTTAAGTGCAACCGGCTTGGCCGCACGCCTGAGCGTAGCCGCCTCAAGGCGAAACAGATTGTCATCACGCTTCTCAGAAGCGGTCTCTTGCTCCTTGCTGCTGCACTTGCTCGGAGGAATGTGCTTGATGCAACCATCTGCAATCATGCTGAAACACATGTCAATCAGCTGGTTGCTGGGCTCAAAGGCACCTGCAACAGGCCACTCGCCTAACTTGGCGCGCATGGCGCTCAAGCGACTGGCTCTCTCCTGAGGAGTAAGCTTGCGGGAGGTGTCATCTTCCCCTGTAACACTGCTGCGCAATTCTGCAACAACGAACGTCCCTGCTTCAAAGATTAGACGAGAGAACGCAGCCACCTCCCCAGAGGTGGGAGTGGCACCAAGATGCTTCTTGCGCAGCGTCTCAAGACGGGCATCATCCACACTGCCAGGTGAACTTGCAACAGAAAACAGGAGACTGGAATAGGTCGCAATCCCATCCTTGCGTAGGCTCTCCAGGGCTGCAACAGGAAGGCCATACTGCTTAGCGCGACTCTCAAAAGTGGCCGAGCTGTCCGCCAAGCTCGACATCCTTTGCGGCGCAAGCCACAAAACTACAGGCACAAGCCTTTGACTTTGCAAACCACCACCACACACTGGGGCCCGGGCGTAACACGAAAGTGGGCAATGAACACAAGTGACCTGGCACAAGCCAAGGCCACGGGGGCAGACTAGAAGCACAAGCTTCGCAGAGCCTGCCCACAGCAATGCCACCACCGCCTGGCGCAAAGCCACAACGGACACACTCCAATGAACAGGTCAAGGGAGTGCCTTTCAGCTCTGGAGCAGGAGCGCAAGCTCGAGCCGAGACAGGAACAGCTACGGCAAAGAGTTGTCAAGGCTCAAGCCAATGCGAAAATGCACGTCTAGTGCAAAGTGACAAAGAAACTCAGGTGCTCCCCTTGCCAGTTTTTGCCCAAGCCGCAACAGTCAGATCAAAATCAGTGGCACCTGCGACAAAGGTGGCAATCATGTGCCTTGTGTGTCGTTGTAGACACTGGACGGGAGCAACTGTACCCGCACCCCCCTGTGCACGGGTGCAGGCAATAACCATGGAGTCTGTGACCATGGCGCAACAAAACACTCGGGAGGGTCATGTACCTAACGTCACGAAGGGGGAGGAAGCCCGGGGGGAGGGCCAAACCTTCCCGAGCATCACGTGCAACCGCAATGGGGTGCCTCGCAGAGCCCCACTGCCCAACAGTACAGAACAACTGGCGCCTGACTGAAACAGGCACAACTGCAGGCCCGTACGAAATCGGTCCTTGGTGCGTGTTGTCAGACACCTCGGCCGAAACAACCTCGTTGATCGCCTCCTCAGAACCGTCCAAGGCGTTGAGATCGATGCTCCCAGAAACCAACGTAGTCGTAACGGTAGAATCGAGGGAGGTACCCATGACCTCCTCAAAACCGTCCAAGGCGTTGAGGTCGATGCCCCCAGAAACCACCGTAGTCGTAACAGGCAAAGTCACGGAAGAAACATCAGAGCTCAACACTGGCAACCGAAGCACGGGTTCACCTCCACTAAGGCCGAAGCGCATGACCTCGTCTCTATGTAAAGCTGCAACTTCAGCGAGGATTGGAACAGGTGGGGGCCGAAAGGACTGGTCATCGGGAAGTTCAACCGTGCCACCCACGGGGCCCTCAACCTCCAGTTCCTCTCGCAACACGCGGTAAAGCCTCGCAGCATCATGAAGTGGAATCGAAGAAACAACTTCACTTAACTCTGTATCAGTAAGCGCCACAGCTGCACGAAGGCGACGAATGGCACTGGCATGTTGCGACATGACCAGGAGGAAGCTGGAGAACAAGAACCCTCACTCACAAATTTGATGCCACTAGAGCCAAAATGGACGGCCGCACACATTAAAGCTTCTTGTGAACAAAGACATCTAATGTACGAAAATGCACGAAAGAGATTCCGCGATAGTTTGGACATGTGACGCTCGTGATGTTCAGTGGCCCGCACGTGCAAGAGTCATGAAGAAGATTACGAAATCCTCGACTTGTGAACTGTATGACATGACACGTCGTGCCTTTCCCTTCGAAGGTCCACACTACGGTTGTTGCTTGTGGTGGTGACGATTGGTGACAGTGCCAACACGTGCCGATTACAAGCTGCAAGGTCTAAGAACATGTTCCAAGCTTGCTGCAAGACATCGCATCCTGATACATAGATGTAAAAAGGCAGGGTCGGTTTCGGCCGGATTTTCCGGAAAGTGTTTTTATTATTAGGGGTACGTTTAATAAAAGGGGGAGAGGAATACATACAGAGGGAGGCCCTAGTCCCACCCACTTTGCCTCCGACTACTTTCCTTCGAGGGAACACAAGTCCACCCACGATCCCGAACAGTCCCACCCAAAACTTTCTCCGAGGGAACGCAACGAAAAATGGCACACATGTTATCCACCATGAACTGGAAGAAACTTTTCCCCGAGGGAACGCAAGTCCCACCCACAGGTTTCATGTGGCTTTTTGCAAACTTCCACATGCGAAGAAACATGTCAAACACCATGTAAACGCATGTAAACGCATGTAAACGCAGCGAAACGATGCATCCATGACATCTAGATCTTCGAGTCTCTCACACCCGAGATTCACATACCAAGTGTCTCCCACATCCGACAAAACCATTGTTCGTAAACCATGGTTTAGGGTTTAGGCTTTAGGTTTAGGGCTGGGTTGCGGTTTAGGGGTTGGGGTTTAGGGAAGCCTAGAGATTCTTTCCCGGCTTGTGGGCAAATTTTCGTCTAGTTGAACGATACCCTGTCCTAGATGTGTGTATGGGGATGAACGATACCCTTGGGTTCGATTTGAAGCCACATGCCCATCAGACTGGATTGGCAGTCAAGAACTTCCTCTTTGGAGCCGTTTACACAGCTACAGCGATGCCGGACATATCCGATTGCAACTGCATCGCGTAACAACTTCAACCGCATGCACATCTGTAGAAGCAGAATACGAAAGTTGACCGTTTTGGTCGGAAGAACCTGAAATCCCAATGAACGCAGAGGACTCAAGAAGTTGATGAGGTCGACCGCGGCATCCCTTCCCTCAATGAACGCATGGATTTTACAGCTACCAATAGCAGCAAATCCGTTGCGAGATTTTTTGTAAACTCTCGAGGGAACGCTTGGCCGAAGTACCCCTCTGTACATGATGAGGTTACATCCATGGTCGTTTCCCCCAAGTAAACGCAAGCGGGGCGACTTTTACATAATATTCTTTCCCCGAGTGACTGCGATGATCCAAACAGAGTGGGGGCGACTAGGGCCGTTGGGAGTATGTATATACATATGTTCTTCGGATTTCTCACTCACCGCGGCACGCCTGTCGAAAATCAGCTCATGATGGGGCAGCAAGCCCACAAGGCTCTTCAAGGGATGGATGCCAATGAGATGCAGCTTGGCCTGACGTAAAAATCATGTCTCTGGAGTGCTTGCTCTGTTCTTTCTACAGCCAGAAGTGCAGGAGAAGCACTGGCGTCGTATGTGGTCGTGCCTGAACGCACCTAAGGCTCCAGCCAATCCCATGTTAGCACCGTATGCAAAGGTCCACACTTGGTCAGGGCCTGGTGCGGTTACTGACAGCATGCAAGAGTATCACACATATGTAGCTCGCGCTGAAAAGTTTCAGGTTTGGTGTTCCGAGCAACTGAAGCCGCTACCAGCAGTTGCGAAGCTCTGCGCCTTGGCATTCGTAGCATCCCTGCAAACGCTGCAGGCTGTCTATCATCTCACGGTGAGTCAGAACATTCTTGTCCACAAGGCCAGAAATCTGTAGACGAGTTGAGGTGGCGGCAGGGTGGAGCCAGTGCTGTCTGGTCAAAGGCAGGCAGCGGGAGCTTGGGGCTTAACAAGACAGATCATAAGGCCGTAAGGCACCGACAAGCTGGCAGCGGCATGGCTAACTACATGTCCGAGCGCAGTTGCAATCTCATGCAACATTGAGCTCTCACACCAAATCCACTGTCCAGACCTCCCCTCACTATCGTCTTGGCAAAGGCCATGAAGAAACCTTAAGACTGAATGCTTTCGCTTTCTGGGCAGCTCTCGTTCTTATCAAGCACTTGTAGAGCCGATGCAAGATCGGTGCAAAAAAAGCGCTGCCACCTCAATATTCATGAGTCGTAGCTCGACACAAACTTCGAATGGTGTTTTCCAATGATCAATCTGTCCTCTTAGAGGTCGATGTGAAACGATGTGGTGACACATCATGCATGATTCAGGCACACATGTGCCTACATACTGGCATACATAGATATACATTATACACATTGTCTATGAATACCTACAGGTACATGAATATGTGTGCATCTAAATACACGTGCGCATGATACATATATAGATATACTCGCGCTGCTACAAGCGCCAAGAAACGCGGTTGAGTCACACGTTTTGGAGACTTGGTCTCAAGAGCTTGGCTCGGCATAGGTCGAAGCATGTCGCGCTTCAACCCCCGTGCACACTGTGAGCCCGCCATGTGGTGCCCTCAAACTAAACATGACACCCTATGATCATGAGTACTCAAGGTCCTGGATCATCCAGTCCAGCTGCTCGTTTCCTCCATATATTTCACCTCACTCAGGGCGGCGACATAGGGTTGTCGTCGATTCGTTCGCTGCGGCCGAACGAACATGCGAAAAGTGGACGAGTTCCACGCGGGCTTGTCGGAAAGCTCGCAAGGTTTCCAAGTGAGTAGAGCCCCTCCTGGTACGATGTGCTCGCATGACGAGATCAGGACAAGCACATGCCTCATGTCGTGCAGCGAACTATGTCTGAGGCAAAGGCACAGCACCGCGTGCCATTTTCTTGGGTAGATGGTCCTGTGAACTCTGTTTAATAGCATGGCAATTAGTAGGCGGGCAGCAACAGATCAGGGCCTCTTCGCCATCGGAAGAATCCTGTGGCAGACTGCATACACTCATTCCGAATGCATCTCCCCGAGTATCCGAATGCACTGATGACGTTGCCCGTAGGACTTCCACCCCGAGCACGTTTTAAGTCCCAAATACGAGCATTCAGAATGTCCTGCATCTCAGGACCGTCATACTCACAAAGCGGCAGACCTCAATGGTAAGGGATGACATGTCGGGAATCTACTGCCTGCGGCGACCGGTATTTCTGGGCAACAAGCTAACAAAAGTGATTGGATCCTGGGTCTCTCCAAACTCCTGAACAGTCAGAACACAAAAGAATCTGCAACATATTGTGGGAATAAAGCTGCATGTCACGACTGTCACGTGCCACGCAGAAACAGGCACGTCGGACAACTTTTTCGAGAAATCACCGCCCGCAGAAACCGACCATTGCCACACATCATCGTGTCTCGCTTGGGCTGTCGGGGAAAGAGGCTAAGACACATGGCAGGCCCGCATCTTGCATTGAACATGTGCCTAATCCATATTATCTCAAGCCTGGTTTTAACTGAGTAAAGCTAGCATCTCCAGAAAGGTGCGTACTTGCGAGGAAAACACCGACGTTGCTGGAGTCTTTTAACATCTCTAAGTGTTACATTACGACATACACGCGGGGATTAGAAGCTTCATGTCATGCTTCATCCCTGTAGACCGAAACAACTCAGATTCCCGATTCCTGCCAGACAACAAAGGCAATGGTGACTTGAAAATCTGCCTTATCATATGGCGGCTTCAAGAAGACGGTGCTCTGTGTTCGGTGTGGCATGCACGAATGCAGGCGCTTAGGTTCTTCCAGTCTGAAAAGTTTAGGGCTGCTTGCAGCCATGAACGAAGACAAAAAACCAGCATGATTCAGCATGATGGCAACCCGCCTTGAAAGGATAGAGTTTGATAAGCCTACACCCATGAAGTGAAATGGTGGCTGATAATGATGCCCGAAACTTCCAAGAGCTAGGGCGTGGTAAGCTCCCATCCCTAGCCCAACTTTCAGCCCTCCGGTAAAATTAAGGTTCCGTAGTGTTTACGAAGCGCAACATGCGCCCCCCCCCCCCCCCCCCGCGTGCATATGCTCGAGTGGACTTCTCCGACGCGAAGTGCCTTCTTCGTAGTCGAATTATCTACTTCGCTTTGTTCCTTCACCCACCAGGTGCCATCAGGTGCCATGGGATAAACTTCCCCACTAGACATTTTCCTAAGGTACGGAGCCAGCAAAAAATTTTTTACTTCGAACATCCCCACCCTCTCTTGGTAGAGATACTCTGCGGTTGGGCACTCCAGGGCCATTCTGGGGTTGGGCACTCCAGGGAGACTATGGGGTTGGGCACTTTAGTCTCCCGAACCTGTAAGAATTGGCACTCCCAGACGCTGGGGCTGGGCACTTCGGGGACACTCTGGGGTTGGGCACTCCAGGAAGAATGTGGTGGGCAATTCGGGGACACTGTGGGGTTGGGCAGTCCATGCAGACTCTGAGGTTGGGCACTTCAGGGAGACACTGGGGCGGGACACCAGGGACACTCTAGAGTCGATTTTGGGGCTGGGCACTTCAGGGATGAGCGAGGGAGTAGACCGGGCGAGGAGAAGAGTTCCGGGCGAGGAGAAGAGTCGAGTTTAAAATCTAACAACCCCACACCGAGGGTGGGGGAACAACAAAGTTCAAACTTTGTTAAGTTTGGGTTTAGGGACAATTGTTTTTGTTGTCAAAGAGCGTTTTCTCTCAAAGCGTGTCAACTACCGATGAATTCTTGTAAACATAATAAGACCAAGATACTGGAGATATGAACTCATACATGAATTGGGGACAAGAGAATACTGAGAGCCGATATCATATCTGTTCATTCATTTTATGCAGGCCCACAGAAACGAGAATACTGTGAGAAAACGCCTTTCAGGATCCTAAAACCTCCCACTCTTCCCAATATAAAATTTGCAGCTAGTTCTTGCCTTACTGGGAGAATGTCACCTTTTTCTTTCGGAAAAGGGATGTGTGAGCACGTGTCCCACCAACCTTTAGATTCATTATTGTGAACAAGCTTCGTGGAGGGTGGGTGATCCACAAACAAACCTACCCCATCACACGAGCACTACTCGTGTTCGTGCTGGGGCACTGAGATTGGAGCATGCGATATGGTCGGAAAGTGCGTGTGTATTGACACTCCAGCATGGCATCAACGACAGCCAGCCTGCGCGGCTTTGCTCCAGTCCTCCTTCCTCATCGGTCGCAACTCCTGGCATGAGGCTCACATGGCTCTGAGTTCTGACGGGGCCTGTGACCTCAGGACTCAAGGACTCAAGGACTCAACCTCTCACCTCTGTGGGCTGAAAGACAGGTACGCATGCACGCCCCTCCATGTTGAAATGCTATGTGAACATCTCTTCCAGAACCAGAATGTGCGGGTCTGGCTTCTTTTGATCAATCTTGGCAGGTAACCACCATGAGGCCCTCGAGTTCCACAATGAGGTGGTTTTGCCTCATGAAGGGGACTTGCCATGACTTGCCGCAACTCAGGTGAGCCGGACATTCTGAGATGCACCAAAGATCACCAAGGCCTAGACGTTGTCCATTTGGGAAGTTGAACAATTTGATGTGGCATTTCTGAGACAAAGCATGCAACAGCACAAATCAAGAAAAAAAGCGGTCTTCCGACATGGCAGCAAAGACTCACCCGGGAACCGAGCTATCGGGCGTTCGACTCACAACCGCAGGCATTCCAACAGCTCCATCCCGCTCGCAGACCTTAATTGGAATTATGAAATCGCCGCAACTGAAAGAAAAGAAGATGCTTCGTTGAATAAGTTGAATAAGTTGGACTTTCAAAAAGTCCTAGAGGCCTAAGGTGGCTCAAGAGCTTTTGGGAAAACATGCTCAAGAGTCGTTCCTCTGCTTCGAAGGAGGCCTAGAGCTGTGAGGGCCAAGAAGAACACATCGCGGGCCAGAGAATCCAGTCGCTAGGGTGATCGGCCCAAGCAAATTTCCTGGCCCATGGGCCAGAACAAAAACTCTTACATCGCAGGGCTTTCATCTGGCAAATGTTTGTACAGAGGTTCCCTTCTTTGATCTTCTTTGGCTCGAATTCGGACGGCATATGTCCTGCTATCCGTTGACAGAGGTCTTGTATTCGGGGCACGCTGCCCCTCCAAGAGGGTTGGAGCGCAAAGGCGCTTAGCGGTTCTCCCCGCCGACGTGACCCCTGCAGACCTTTGCCCCTACACTGGACACCCCCTACCCCTTCCTTTCCCCCCCACCCCCGAGTTTTTGTGATGAACCGGGACACCGTTGGCCCATATCCGGGACCTAGCCGTCTTGGATTTACAAATAATGCCCATCTATGCATACTCTGAGGCACCCACATACACTCTGCAGCCCAACGATCGTAAGATGTTGTATCTGCAGTGGAACCTGTTCCACCACCGGAATGCACCCGGATGATGGCAACATTCCACAACACTCAACACTTATCCAGTGTGTTACAGCTCTGTGCCCGCAGTGGCGGTCTCGGGCCTGTATGACGGGAAGAAATAGCAATCGCCAAGGATGATCTCCGTGGACACCTCGCATGGGCGAGGCCTGCTTTGCCCATGGCTGCCGTGCCGCTGCTGTGGCTTTGCATTTGGCAAAGTAAGCTTTGCACCAGCAAGAAGAGCAGCGTCGAGCCGATGGCCTACACGGGACCGCGCAGACTGGATTCTGAGCGGACCCCTCCTCTTGTTCTTTGAAGAGTTGGGGGGGGGGCGGGGGGGGTTGCACGTCGCGCCTCGAGCACGGTGGCCATAGGAAAGAAGATCAAAATGTAGCACAAGAATGCGAAGCGGAAGGGCCTTGCAGAAGGTGAAACGAGACGAGACTAGGATGGCGTGAGCAGCTCAACAGACTCGCCAAGAATGGAGCAAGGACAGCCAACGTTCTCGTTGGTATATCTGGCACCAGAAAGCAACGCTGTGAGGCTTTAGGATCTGTAAGATGCTGTAAGCAAATTGCTTGAATCAATTCTTGTTCAGCTTCCTGAGAGGTCTTCGGGCTGAGAGCGCAGCCCTTGCGGTGTTGCATGAGACGGCGAAGGCGCATGTCAAAAGCCCAATGGCGCACGCCATGGCAATCTCAGTGCAAAAGTGGGAACTGGAGCTCTCGGCTGAGATTCTGCCGGTGTCTTGTGCGAGTTTGTGGAGGATGGAGACAAGATGATGCAAGCAGTGCAGCATCCTGGCACGCTCTGCAAGCCGCTAGTTGACTAAGCTCCACGCAATGGTGCCATCCAACGTAAGAGACGACAGAAACATGATAAAGGCCTAAGCTTCCAGTGCTGCGAGCTCCTGCACACTACCGACGGAGGAACGCACAGTTTCAGACATGATATTTCATAAACTCCCAAGCTGGGCACATAAGCCATCACTGGTGACCACCTGTGGTCCCATATCCTGTTGGGAAATTGGCAACACAACTGGGACTTGTTTCTGCTGACGGCATGTTGCTCGGCACGGGGCAATATGTCCATACACCAGGCATCAAGTGCCTGAGTCAATGGCGAATCTACAGGAGACCCACGTGCAGAAAGCATAAAGACATGATAAAAAGGATCCCATCTGGCATCATCTTGCCATATCTGGCTACGTGCTACCCACTTGTCCAGATGCTCACAGATAAGCTTGCCTGTCTCACGACGTAGTCCAAATCGCTGGCTTCTGGCACAACGAAGCTGATGAGACAAGCTGACAGGAAGTAACGATGAATAAAGCTTCAGAGGGAGTCACTGTCGTGTCGTTCCCATAACGAGGTGCATGGCGGAAGTCGACCAAGGAGCTGCTAGAGAAGCTGGACGTCACGAGAACATGAAAACATGTGAAAACCACAAGGATGATCCAGTTTGCAAGGGGATCGGAAGTTAAATGATGCAAACAGAACTGGTGTTCGGCGATGCTCGATGAGATGCCAGTGTGTCAAACACAGCTCTCTACGCCACAGCTCTTTACACCTCTTACAAGGCAACCCCTGCTTCAAACTCTGTTGGCTTGGAGATTGAAACAAAACGTTGCAAGACCAGCCATGACAAGCTTCAGACTGAAAACAGGGCTGCAGTGCTGCCAAGTCCGGAAGGATTGAGGAAGAAAGATTGGTATAGCCAAGTTCTGTACCTGCGCACGGACGCGTGAAGTCTGCCTGACGTGCAAAACAGGATCGCAGCTGGGGCGCATGAGAGGAACAGGCCGGAAAAGGTACTCATCTTTCTCCAGAAAGAGCCTCAGTTACTATGCACCGCTTCGCAGCTCGAGAGATATTGTGGCTGACCGCGGGGTTTAGGGACCTGAACAGCTAGAACATGCCTACAAGGAGGCTCTTTACAATAAGCATTACACGTGCATCCTGTCACGATCCTGAGTAATGCTCCGGTTTCTGGGAAGCCAATCACGACCAGCAAGATCAACCACCTTGCTTCAATTGAGCATCAAACGAATCAAGCCCCATGTGCCTTGGCCTGAAAGTTGGGATAGGCGGGATCCACATGCCTGATCGACTCACGAAAGATGGTGACACAAATCTTGACATGGGACTCTGCAAGAGGCGCTCACAGAATCACCTCGCCGGTTAGCGGGCTCCGCCTGGCTCTACTAAGCAGCGAGGCAAAGGCTGGAAAGGCTTTGTTTCGTCTGGCGGAGCATGGGAAACCTCTGAGCTTCTGAAAAACATTGACGAGGCACTCTCTGTTTTTGGGTTCAGGCTCAGCAAAAGGAAGCGTCGGCGGCCTGCACTGGCCCATCAGCACCGAAGGGGGCACCTTCTTTTGCTCGAGCTTGATGCGCAGAGGGAAGCCTCACTCTGTCACTCTGAGGGCCCTCGGAGGACTTTATAGGACTTTGTCTTTTGGCTGCTCTATGCTGCTCTGCTATGCTCTGCTGTGATCCGGGGTGAGCTGCCGTCTTCATGAAGCGGTTGCTTCGGAGCCTCCTCGGCTTCCACCAGCCTGGCAGGCTCTCAGACGATTGATCGCTATCTATTGAGAGTCTTGATCGTCTGTTGCTGTCAAGAGGCTCTTGCCGTGGATCATAGCTACGTGAGAAGAAGCGCAAGTCCGCGGAATGGCCTTTCAAGACTCTCAAGCGGCTTAGCTCCGAGAATTCCGCCCCCGACATGGCTGTTGCGCCCATTGGTGCAACCAAGGCACCACCAGGGTCAGCGGACCTGCTTCCAAGCAGCTGGACTGCAGAGTCTCATGATGTCTCATGGAGGGCTTCACATCTAAGGCCGCCGGCCATGCGTTTTTGACCATGCCGATGCTCAACAGAGGCCAGCCATCAGACACAAACTACTTCATTTTCACATGCACCTACGGAATCTACAGGACGAATCTTCAAAATCACTTGCCCGACACTTTCATGACAGAACGTTGGCGCCACGTTGTGATGCCTACCGTTGGCCGTTCAGCGGCCGCCTGTACCATGGATGATGCGTGTCCGTACCAGCATTGACGAGGTGTCCTACCCAGAGTGCGATGCCTCTCATGGACCTTCCAAGGCACTCTGAAGACCCTGTGATATTCTGTGCGTCTAATTGGTGCATCAAAGCTGCGGAAGAAGTCTGCCGTGAGCTCAGAAACGCTCTCACATGTGAAGACAGCAAAGGAAACGGATGAGTGGGTCAAAATTCGGGTTGTCGCAGGGGGGTCCCCCACCCCCTCTGTTACAAGCCTTGTCGCGGGCAGGTTGTTTCATACGTTTGTCGCGCCGCTACTTTGAACCCAATTTTCTTATTTGGGTTTTGTAAGGGTTTAGGGTAAAGGGCTTAGGTTCAGGGTTGGGGTTTCGGATGAAGGGTTTAGGGACCGCAGGGTTTTTACCGGAGAGCCATGAAACCCTGAACCCTGTAAATATAAACCCTGGGCTTCTCGTTCAAGGTTGTCCTACGGATGGGCACCTGCTGGCTCGAGCAGTCGCGCGGGTTGTCGCGGGTATGTCGCGCCCTGTCGCAGGCCTTGTCGCGGACTGAGAGTGAAAGTTGCTGCAGACAGACACGCATCAAGGTCGCATCGAGATTGGCAATGAGAAAATTCAATGGTATTGCTGTCTTGTCGGGGGGGGGGGGTTGTAGCCTTGTCGCGGGGGGGTTTGTCGCGGACACGGCCCGTCTGTTACAAACCTTTGTCGCGGATGGAACCCCCCGGCGCGTGTTACATGCCCGGAAGAAAAACTCACTGATTGGTTCCAAGCCAGAACTTAGAGTAGCAGGCATCAGCAAACAGCTAGTTTGTGCCGACCGCAGGGAGCACTTTTCGTCTTCAGAAGCCCGCTCGGCCTCGGTGACAGAGATCTTTCTCAAGGCAGATCATGAAATGACAGAAGCTGCCACACACCATAATGAAAGCGTAGCAGGCACAGCCTTGCACGCATCACGCTGCACAGGGCTCACACCCAGCAGCACGGCAGCAACCATCCCAGCAATTCAGCGCATACGACCTAATATTCCACGTTGCGCTCCCTGGATTGTAATGCAGATCCAGTGGACATGCTTCAATGTGTTTTGTCACACCTTGCCAATTGTTCATCCGTGGCATCGCTCTTGACACATCTCACAATGCCACCATCCAGTCTCTTTCTAGAGTTGGGTGCCGGACGTTCCGCACAGGAATCCCGCAAAGCCGCGGACTCAGCATCGAACAAGGTGCAAACAAGTCAAATAAGGACGCAAAGCAATGTGCCACACAATGACAGTAGAAGTCCAGGCCATAGAAGCTGCAGAATGTGTTCTGAAAAGGCTGCCGAGCAGCTGTCAGCTGGCGACATCTGAGCTAGGGCAACCGCTACAGCTTTGAAGCAGGGACCATACCCAGCGTCGCCTGGGGCATGCCATGGCATGAGGCTAACGGGCAGCTTCCAGGATGCCAAAGACTGCCTAGAGCTGCCTCAACAAACAGCTCAATCTTCTGCCACATGTTCTCTGTCATAGCATGTTCGACGTCCTTCAGAGCTTGGTGAACTAAACAAGCTGGACTGCAGCCGCGACTAGCCGCATGCATCTTCCCTCCAAGTTAAAATGTCCTTGTCAATGAATCTTTGTAGACGCGCCGACTGACCCTCCTGGTCATATGCCTCGAGCAAACTTGCATAACTTGCCAAACACTCTGCCGTTGCTTTGGACATGAAGCCGAGCCTGTTGGGCTGCTGCAAGGCTGATCTGCACGCCCGCCAAAGGGCAGCGTGGGTCCTCCAAATCTCACGCGAGTCACATAAATTGCAATTGGTATCAAGAAAGCGTGAAGTTGTCCTTCTCACCACTCAGAACCAGCAAATGCCGAGGTGCAATGCATGGTAGCGTAAGAGGCCTGGCCACACTGTGAACTCTGCGCTGACGCCATCTGTATCCTATCGAGCCGAAGGAGTTAGTTGCGAAGGAGTGTCTCCCGCTTAAGTCTGGTGCCCCACACGCAGCACTGTGGAACTCATTTGCGAATGTGGTTGTGTGCAGGACGAGCCGACCCGTTGGAAAACAGGAGTCATTGGCACGACATGATTCGCCCTGGTCTAGAACCCCTTTCCTCAGCCTTCGAACCCGAAGCGCAAGAATGATGGTGTCATGGCCATGGGTACTATTGCCACGGGTAATTGGTGCGTGCCCAAATCAAGCAAACTAAATAGGACCCCCCTGTATAGACAAGTCTGCCGGCTCGTACGACACATTAGGGCGGATCCGGCAGGGTCCATGCTTTCAAGACAACCTTGTCGCCGGGCAAGGAAAGAATTGTTCGTGCTGCGCGCGTTGACCCTGGAAGACTGGCACCTGTTGCCTGTTGTATTCCGAAGGGAGGGGGGACCGTGGAGAAAATTCATGCCCAACTGTAAGGAAAATCAGGAAACAAGCAATGGATCCATATATGTCTGTGTTAGTCGAGCAGTAGAACCTAGCAGCCGTCAGAGTCACACAAGAGACCCCAGGGCATTTCCATCGCAATGTCGGCAAACACATGCCAGGCAGGCGCATCAAATGCAAGCTTGTTGCCTGGATTGACCTACGTCTGCAAGGTGTTCTTATTGTCATACGACTTGCACCAAGCAGCAATGCCATGCATGCTCATGCCACTGTCACTTCTCACCGAGAACATTGAGTTATACACCTCGGCAAGCCCTGGCGCCAGACGCGACCACACAGCTGCGACCACCGCATCATCCACAGATGCCTTGTTCATGTCGGCAGCAGCTACTTCAAATGGCCGTCGGATGGAATCTACCCTTGCGCCCCACAATCCGTTGACCAAAGAATGGTTGAAGGACTGAACGCCAATTGCCGGCATCGATGCCCAGATCCGGGTGTCGGCTGCAGCCAGGAGCCAACATGCCATTCCGCCCAGTGAAACCCCTGTTGCACCGATACGCTCTTGCATCACATCAGGCCTGGAACAGATGTAATCAACCACAGTCAAAGCGTCGCGCGCGATGTCCATGACAAATCTGTCAGATCCTCTTTGCCAGCCTCGAACCAGCGCATTGAAATACACATCCAGTCGGGCTGCTTCGTGGCTTTGTAGGGCATGAAGAAGTGCCGGGCAGAGGCTCTTCAGAGAGAGATCAGCATTGCCCTCACTTCCACTTGATTTGCTGAGCCCTGCTTCCGGAAGCGCACGCTCTCCGTGCCATGGAGCGTCGAATGCAAGAGCAATCAAGCCTTTCCTTGCCAGCCGTTCTAGCCGGTTCGCCATGAACTCCTCAGTTCAGCTTGACAGGGGAACTGGAAATCCACAATGCCTAGTGGCATCCCTTCTGCACAGCCCCCTAAACATTCCGCCGGCAGGGCACCTTGCACTTGCCCGTAGCATGCATCAAAATGACTGCAGGCATCTTGCCGGCCTCGCAGGTGGCATCAAGCTGAATCAAGCTGCCAGCGCAGGTACTTCCGTTTCCCTCTTGGTGCCGCGCCACGTGCACGGGTCTTGCACTCAGCACAGTGAAGTCTCCTGCATTGTCTGGTTGCTTGCTCATGTAGCAGACATGGGTTTTGGCAAAGTGCTTTGTCGTAAGAGCTGGGCCTTGCGTAGCAACGGAAGGGCTGAGCTTGATTCTCTCCCAGAGAACCGGCTTGCCTGCTGCTTCCGAACCTACTACCGCCATCAGCAAACCACCCGCGGTAGGAGACAAACTCTCCGCTACTTGCCTGCTCCAAACAGAGCTGCTTCTCTGGTCTCGAGCAGCCTGCTGCAGCCACTTGCCGTGTCAGCATCGTGCCCACAGACGCCCGTCAGAGTAGCAAGAAGTCCCCTGTGCTTGGGCAACAATCGGGCGAGCGAGACGTTGCTTGTGGCGGCGGTGGATGCAGCAATGCTGACTCCTCAGCACAAGCAAAGCAAAGGATTGCAAGAACCGCTGCAAGCAACATTCATCAAGGTGCCAAGAATGCAGAAAGCTCCTCGTCGCATTGCCGCAAGGTCGCAAGCAGTGCTTTGCTGCGAGCGGTACGGTCAGCACGGGCTGACTCCATAACCGATGTTGTCAGTCTGATGGTTGAACCCAAATGACGCGTTGGGATGTTCCCCATTTTCCTAGCGGCCCTTACTAGGGATTATTGTAAGGCTAATAGGGAGTACATGGGAGTACTAAAATCCCTATGAAGGACTCTTAGTACAAAGGGAACAGCCCAAATGACGTGCATTGAACCTAGGAAACCTATGGAAGTTTCTGTTCTGTTCTTGGACAGTGTGGGCAGCTAGACCATGTGCGCGCGAGTCTGGCCTGAGGAGTTTAAGCTGAGCAGCTTGAGCAGCACATCAAAAACACAAATGAAACCAACCAAGGTCATGAAATGTCATGACCCAGCAAATATCAGCACACCATCGTGCTGCTGTCCTCGCTTCCGAAGCTACAGTGTTGCTGACCGAGCTACATGGCTAGAACGGTCAATAATCCGCAGTGAGACCAAAGGCGAAGCAGCCGGAGCAAGAGCTGATGTGTGCAGAGGTTTGAACTAGCTTGCCATGTGCTCTGCACGCAGCAGCTCCATTCTGCATCTTTCTGCTGCTGCCGAACTTTACCGATGCAAGACTCCAGGACGGCTGTCTTGGCTGTCTTGCTGCAATGGAAACAGGGCGCCCTCGGGTGAATTCGTCAATCAAAACTATCCGCGTCCCTGCCGCCTTCTGCACTGCCTGTATCACATCTCTGTCGCGTCATGTTATCGTCATGTTGATCTGCCAAAGCGACAGAGAAAAACCACACCGGCCTCTGGACGCTCCCAAGGCTGTTGCAAAGGCCGCAAACATCTTTGCTGCCTGAGGCATTAAAACAGCAACCCTTTGCCTCAGTTGCCTCTCCAAGATGGCTGTAGATGGCCGAGGCTTGAGCGTACTGCTCTGGGTTGGACACGAAACCTGAGATGCCCTTGTCCCAGTGAAGTTCTAAGCACGTCCAAACACGCTAACCCAGACTGAGAGCGCGTGCCCTGCTGAGATGCATCATCGTTCCAGCCTGGTCATGCGTCACGAACAGCACCGTTCAATGGTCGATTCCCGCTGCAGCAATACCACTAGAAAGAACGATCGACATATTAGGTAACACGTGGCTCAACTGGAAATTGACAGAACCGAAACATGGCAGAATAAATAAGGCAGCATTCCACCGTGTTCTCTACGAGCTCTACGCCCCGCCCGATTCAACCTAGGGCAGAGGTAGGCCGTTGTAGGGCCGGCGCTTGGCATGGCAGACGCTGCTGCTCCGCTTTGCTGCGGCCTGGTCAGCAACCAGCCTAGTGGCCCATAGATCATTGACCCCAGTCCAGTGAGTCGACATGCTCAAGGCCCAACACGCAGACGCAGACCTGGGATTTGCCAGAACCGTCCAGATGTGCTCCATCCCTTGGCATTTGCAACAAAGAAACGCGACAAAGATCAAACAAGTGGAGCTCATCGTGATTTCCCGCCATTTTCGACATCGGATCGACTGACCTCTTGCTGGCAGGGTGCGCACTGCGTCTGCACGGCGCCGTGCAGCAAGCAAAGCCGCCTGAACTGCAGGGCTGCAGTGTTCTTCGGGCTTGAAGCCCCATGGATACCAGCCAAAATATGCTACATGCATATTGCAACATGCACTGTTAACTCCTTGAGCCACCTCACCTCGTTCAACAGGTTGGCCAGGTCTGCTCCGCTCATTCCCTTAGCACGCGATCGAACGTCTGCTGTTTGCACACGAGCATGAGTGCTGCTGCCTCTGTCCGTCGTGCGAGAAGTTGAACATCCAGATTCTGCAAGGCAGGCGGTTGCCGAATCTAGCAGTCTAGCGATGTAGTCTGACAATGTCTGACGGTGTCTGACAGTCTCTGACATGAACTTGAACGATGCACAGGAATCATGGGACCCCAAGATGCTGCCTCAGTCTTGAGCTTGGCGGCGTGGATCTGCAACGTGGCCTCTGCACTGTTGTGTGTTGGGCCACTCAAATCATGAACAGATCGCCAACAGATCGTGTGAAGGGGTCTCACCACCCGCTCAGAGAGATTGGGCAAGTTCACCATCACGATGCGGTCCAGTCGGCCTGGCCTGCCATCGGAAGCCAAAGCGATGAACGTCAACAGACTTCAACAGCGCCCTTTCTCCTTGCTGCGTGGCAATGTGACACAGCTGCATGTGGTGCCTGACCAAGGCCTCATCCAAGCAGTGGAAACGGTTCGTGGCCGCAATGGTCACAACCACGGGAGCGCCTGCAGCTATGGCAGTCTAATGTAGTCTACTAGTACAGCGGCTACATTGCTACAAGCAGAGTGCAGCTTGCCTAATCGAGAATGCACATGTGTGCATTTGCAAGCTGCAGTGGTCTGCACATCAACAGCATCCTCTTTGAGTCACGTGGCTCAGCTGCGTCACCTGCCCTGTCTGCGCACACGACCAGATCGCAGCTTGAAGCCGGCGCAAAGCGGCTTTGTACAGCACCAGGGAGCTTCACACCCAAGTACCCTCACGGCCCTCGCCCTCACGTGCATTCACCGCACTCGCAGCGCCTGGCATGGGGATGCACGTCAACAGAAAAAGCTCGACATAGCAACTGACCAAGCCTGAGCTTGGCCGCTCCTGGGGAAGGTCCTGAAATCAGGCTGACACTAAGATTATTCATCAGGACCCCTTTTTGGGATCGTTATTCAATTCCAATTTGTCAGATTCGGATCAGATGGAGCAAGGGGTAGCCATCGGCAGTCACAGCCAAGAGTCAGACATGTTTCATGATTGAAACTCAATGCTGACAGGCTTCGACAACTTCATCCTCTAGTGGCAGGCTCGGCGGCACCACGGGAAGCTTCTCGGCACGGCTTGGGTCAGATCATGCTTATCGATTCCAGAATGTGTGCGTTCTTTGGCTGGCGGCGTCTCTGATTCACTGCAAATCTGGGGATCGCACTAGCAAGGCACCGTCGAGGACGATCCTCGCCAGTCCAGCCTGATGTTGCTGTGTCTTCGATGGGATACAACGGGATATAGATAAGAGGCCACGTGGGAAGCACCACCCGAGATTGAGGCCGAGCGGAGAGAGAAGCCCACATTGCCCCAGATGCCAGGATCGTGACTCAGCTTGGTTTGGCTTGGGCTGCATGGTGCGCTGGAGATTTTGACTTCAGTGTGGCTTGTTAACAATAGAGCCCCGGGAGCGGCGCATTTTCGCACCAGGCACAGGAGCTCCGAAAATCTGCACGCGTCAAGCAGGTGCAGTGACTGTGCACGAACATCGTCACCTTCACACGTCGCCAACAAGCCTGGAAGATATTCAAGAAGTCCTGCGCCGTGGGCGCACCAGTTGCTATTCAAAACAATCAGAGTCTTTAGTGGGTTTGAGGTGCCTGGTTGGGCATGCCAAGGGTGTGTCCCACCTTGGTAAGACAGGAATATTGCGGTATCGCGTCGAGTTCGTGCCAGAAATCGCAGCAAGAGTTGCGCAGAGAATGTACCAGTATGAATGCTACCAGTACTTTGAACGTTTTGACTGGGGGTCGGGCTGCAAACTTCCAGAAGTCCTGGACGTAGTGCTGGCAATTGGCCTTCAGCAGGTCATAGCCTGGCAACACTGGCAGAAAGCTGGCAGTGCAAAAGGAGAAGACGCATGAAACTGATGGATGCTCAACATTCTGTTGCGTGGGGGAGGCCTGCAACTGACTGGGCCTTCGCCAACTCCTGGATTGTCACTATACATTGCACCCATCGAGACTCGACAACTGGCAGATAACAAAACCAAAAGATGGGGATGTGCAATTTAGCCTGACCACCACAAAACCGAAGTTTCTTGGTTTGCATGTGCAGGCCCCAACTCACACGCACATAAAGACGCACACATAGTATCATGACATCGGTATCAGTACTGGCTTAAGTCAGCAATGCTGCTTGTGATGATGATGACGATGACGATGACGATGATGTTAATGATGAACCTGAATGACCCCTGCGGGCTTCAAGATTCACGTTCGATTCAGACATCCAGAGTCCAGCCGTTGCAAGGGGGGCGAGGCTTGATGGAGGTGCATCACGGCCATCTGACGACCGTCTTTCTTGTCCACCGCTCTGCAAAGGCGTGATGCTTGTCAAGCCCCAGGCCTATCCCATCCCGACGACGGCACGACGAGACGTGAGACGTGTAGAGCTCTGCGTAGAACCTACTGTTTCGCTCGCTTTAGTAGAGGGGGTGCGCCCCCCCCCCTCCCTCCCCCTTCCCCCCCCCGGCCCAAACAAATCTGGGACCCTCACAATATTTCGCTGAAGCAGCTGTCTCGGAAACTTGCGGTAAAGTACCATAGCCCCATTCACTGGCATCCGCTAGCCTCTGAGGCTTTTAGAAGACTGCGTTGCCGTCTTCGATAACTTACAAAACTGCGAAAAAGCACAAAACACTTCTTATGCGGAAGACGTCGCTTGCAACTACTATCAACTGGTAGCATGATGTCGTTTTCTGTGCCCAGGGCTTGAACAGAGTCCGAGGGCTGATTTGTACGACAGCTGAACGTGACATTAATGCAGGATTCACGTGTTGAGGGGAGCCAGGACAGAGGGTGTCTGAGCGTATCTGAGGGTTCTGAGGGGCTCCACTCAGGCTCTGGGATGTCTTGGCAGTTTTGTGGGTTGCTGGGTTTAAGGGGTTGTCGGGTATCGAGCGTTTCCGGCGACAGCCCTCGTTTCCGGGTCTGGGAGTTATCTTCGCAGGTAAAGAAGCAGAAAAAAGAAGCCTCATTTGCTGCATCGCTGAGGAATGATGAGGCATGCAACGCAGCATTGGACATGTATCCCAAGCAGCCTCGAAGTGGGCTACCGTGGGCCTTGGTGCACTGGGTCACACTACGATGCTCATGCCACTGTCACACTCTGTCGCGCTCTTGTCATCTTAGGGTGCAAGCCCATTGTGCAGCGTCTTTTCGGAGAAGAGCTTTGCCCTCGGCTCATCACTTTTTCGTCATGGCTCTGGGGAAATGTGGCGCAGGAATCTTAATCAAAAAAGAGAAGGAATCCAGCAAAGCAACAAGACACCCGGAGTGTGCATCTTCATACATGTTCAATTTTCCAGCATGGCGCTACTTCTCGGTGTGACAGCACGAAGTGCTCTGTCAGCTTCGGGCTGAGCTGCTTGACACTTCCTGACACTGGCTTTCGTATGCATGGGCATGCTGAAGCGCTTTGATGCGCTTTGATGCGCTCTTGCTGCGCTGTGTGCGGGAGCTGGACCAACGCAACGCGAGGGAGTCCAGCATCTCAGATCGAGAACTTCGTCAGCACAGGGAGCGCCATGTCTTTTCAGCGAACGTGATTTTAGAGATCTTCATCGCCAGCATCAAGCATCCCAGGTCCTGCGATCAGGAGGGAAAGGCCTTGTTCTGTGTTTCATTGTGTTTCTATCCCGGCGCTGCTACGAGCGGGAGTATGACCACAAAAACCCCGAAACTCTTGCCAACCAGGCACCCATCGGGTCCAAGAACTGTACGGGCTGCCCGCCCCCAGTTTTGGCGTGCTTGTTCAGCGCCTTGGGGCATTGAAACTTGGAAATGCTGAGCCCAACTCTCACTCAGTCAACAGATGTCAGCAGTCATCCGAGTCGAAGGGGTTTGTATGTTTTCGTTCAACGGTTGTCGGTCATGGCTCATGAGGTCTTATGGGGTCCGAGGAAGTCTGATGGCAAGCCACCGAGCTCGACCTTTCATAATGTCATGAGTGCGGAGATTGTGCCACATTGCCTGGAAGCTTCCTGGGGGTCTGTGCCATTGCTATGCGCCTAGGAGCTACTGGGCGATTCGGGCGCTGTGAATGTCGCAGTTGGCAGGAGCAAATGATCTTGCCAACGGGCTGCCAGAGCTAAGCGGAGGTGCACCAATGTAAGGCTAACGTGGCGCCAAGGCTCGTGCTGCATCTTCCGCATCTTGTAGCCATCAGCATCAACGATGGGCATCCAATTTTCGTCACGATGCTGAAATCCCTTTGGGGGCTTCTTACCCGGACAAAACTTCGAGAGCTTGGTGCAGATTCGCGAAACGAACTTCTCGCCAGACAACTTCTTCTCTGAATGCCTGTAGTTCTTGTAAAGCCTGAGCTGGGGCATGGTCCGTGTTGTCAGCGCCGTTTCGCAAGGAATCTGCTCTAATCGCTTTAACTTCTCTCTGAGCAGCATCTCAGTCATATCTTCCCGATGCTCGTCGAACACTGCACCTTGCCACACATCTCATGCATCATGACAGCCGGGTATGATTTGCCGTGTTCCAGACGGTTGCCCAAAAGCCCCTCGACTGTACGAGCCACAGACAAACTCGGACTTTGGTCCTCATGAAGAGCCCCCCCTGCCACGCTCTAAGAGTGTCGCACATTAATCCTATTCTCCATGCGACATGCTGACCGCAACGCCGCCAACCCAGCCGTCGCGAAAAACATTCCCGAATTCCTGACTGATGATCATTTTCAGGACAGCAAGACATGGAAAGCAGAAGTGTGCGGACTGTGTGAACTTGCCTCCGGCTACGTATGCACTGCGTTGGCTGAATGCTCAGAATTAAGGACTTGCAGATCGGCTCCCATCTTGCCCTGGGCAGTTTCCGGTACCGATACTTTGGCCAAGTCGAAGAGCTGAAAACTCAGTTCCGCTGAGACTTCGTCGTCTGCCAAATGTCAAAGTCAAGCGTGGCAGGTGCACGGCAGGCGTGCGCAATGGTGTTGCATTCTCGGCGACACTCTCCGAGCTCGCCTTTATTCTCCAGGGTCAGGATGTCTGACACCTCCTGCAGTGCTGCTTACTCGATATACGGAGCTCAAGAATGTGCTTTTTACTACGGTATTGTGTTAACCTGCATTCTCGCTGCGGAATGCTACGATGCTGCATCGTCTCTGACAACAGACCCATCAAGGCCTTTTGGACAACGTCAATGTGCGTCATCCACTCGCCTGTTCACGAGCACTTACTTATACTTGGTTGGAACACACGTGAGACGCCTCCATTGTCGTCAGGATCGCAGATGCCATCCAGGACCTCGTCGATTGCCAGCTCTCCGAGCGTTCCTCTACAGCCAAATTGTCACGACATGTGCGCAACGCCTCGACAACAAGTGTTCGCCACCCAAAAAAAAAACCAGCATCGTTCTGCGAATTGTCGCTGCGCTGTACCGAGGCGAGGAACCGGCTGGAAGTTCAGCTGCCTTTTGTGCGACTTGAAGCCTTTGCAAGAGCCAAGAGCCATGCACTTCCCATGTTTCCCCGGCTTCTGTACCGCTGTCTTCCAGTCCGAGGGTGTTGCCAGGCTTCATTCGCAGCAAGCTTACCTGAGCGACAAAAAGCAAGAATGGTGAACTGATGTGAATTGGCAAACGGCACGAACTGTCACGAACTTGCAGCTGAATGCATTGGCGCCAGGTCACAAGCCGCGCACTTGATGTATGGCTCACTCTTGGCAAGTCTGGTCGGCTTCTTGCCTACAGCTGCTCCCATGAGCTCCTTGGCTTTGGCTTCATTGCAATGTCACGGGCCATGACTTTCTTTGGAGATCGGGTGGCCGGGGCACTGGTGGAATGTTCGCCTTTGGAAGCCAAGGCAGCAGCAAGGCCAGGGCCGACAGCATGGAGAGCCGATGCCAAGGAAAGCACAGGCCCATCGCTGCACACGTGGGGCCGCGCTTTACTCGAAAGGATCTCGGGACAGAGAACTCCCAACATTTGGTTAGAGACACCTGTTCAACTCTTTGTTCTCGATGAAAAGGGGCCTTTTGTGCGACGGCTTTTTTTTGGCTACTTTTCTTGACTTTGACTACTCCGAAGATGCTTCGAGTGCGCCACTAGCGTGCCTCTTGATGTCTCTTCATCTGCTTTCCAACAAAGCCCCCCAACACTTCTCTTAGAACCACAGAATGCTGCACAAAATGCTACAAAAATCATGCTGCTGATCTCTGACCCAAGCTCTGCGTCTGCTCTCGGGGGTTCTCGCAAAACCAATCGAAGCCTCTCTCCCTCTTCATTCTTGTTCTTTGTTTTTTGCACAAGTCCAGTTTTAGAAGCATTCGGCCTTCGTAAGGTAGCCCAGCCACATGGTTGACATGGCCAGTCTATTTGCGCCCCTGAACTCAGCCAGCACATGCCCAGCTTTTGTCCGAGGATGTGGCTTGCCCGCAGAAATCAGCTTGGCTGCTTCTGCTGGCGCCTGGGGCTGCAAGGTTTTAATAAGTTTTAATTTTACAGGTTTCGTTCACGGCTGCTCTGACTCCTCTACTTCTTGTTATCACTTCTGCCCTACCACGGCATATCCATGCCCACCCTGAATAACTCAGCAAAAGCACGATGACGACGCTGGGAGTCTGGAATGGCCTTGGCAGCTGCAATCGCAGCTGGAGACGCGCCTCCAGCTGTTGGCACTGTCCCGTGACCTTCCAAACACAACCGACACACCGGAGGGGGTTGAAAGATGGCGGAAAGAGAGCTGAGCTAGCATCAGCCCTTCAAACCTCCCTGAATCGAAGGAAAAAGGGCACCTCCGGCATCTCCGGCACCGTGGCGATGGGAGAGGTCCTCTCCCAGATTCTCGCAGGGAATGCGCTTTTGCTATCATCGGCAGCGACGAAGATGAGTACGAGCGGGCGTGTTTGTTACCCCACAAGTCAGAAGTTACCCCAGCCCCCTAGCACAGAAGTTACCCCACGTGTGCAGAAGTTGGCCGGTTCAACGTCCTGCTGATTTTTTGTTTGGGCTTCCAGTTCTCAATAGGAAATTGAGGACCCAAATCCCCAAGTAGACGCACACTGATGCGACCTTGTTTCTCCCCCTTGTGGCACTGCATAACAAAAGGTGAAGCGATTTTGGTGATGAACGACCATGCCCAGCCCACTAAGGCGAGTAACACCATATACGCCACAGAGAGCTCAGCTTCCGTTTCACGGTTTGTCGTCTTTCCCTAAGGGCACAAGCCAGCACATAGCCCATGTGACATGGTATCACAGTTTTGCAGCGTTCCCCGATGAACACACTGGGATTCGCCAAAGAGAGCTCAACTTCTGCTTCAGGGTTTGTGGTCTTTCCCGAGTGGCACGCCCCACACAAGCCATCTGAGAATATAGCCCCTATGACATCGTATCACAGTTTTGTAGCGTTCCCCGAGAGCACAGCGGGATTGGGACAACTTCCGTCTTGTGGGACAACTTCCACATCTACCACGTGCCGATCTCCTCAATGGGCATCGCCTTCCCCTTCAGAAATGGCAGCATCGTTCCACGGTGTAGATCTTCCACCTCAATGCATCTCACATCATCTTCACACGGGCTCGACGCCTCTAGTGATCCTACATTTGCGCTGCCTTTCCTGTGTCGCACAAGGCAAAAATATGCGAAAATTGCGGTGACAGGCTTGGAGCCGCCGGGCTCCACACTTCCGGTGCAGCTTACCAACTTGGGTATGTACAGTACGGAGCAGGCGCGCCCTCCTCCGTCATCTGCACCCTTCTGTACCGACATGAAAACCCGTCTGCCGACAGTTGTGCGCGTTCCGAAAATCGTATCTGTACAGTGGGCGCAGAAGAATGAAAGTGACTTAGCCACCAATGGCACGACCTCCCGCACCTCCCCATCTGCGAGTAGCTGAGCCGCTTTCTCCAGCATGCTGCTTGGTCGTGTTGTCTTCCTGGCATACCCTGCGCGATCGTCTCTGCCAGCTGCCATATCCTTGATGGGACTTTGCACTTGTTGGGGTCTCGGCAGGCCATTGCTGCCTTGCTTGCTCCCACTCACTCCTTTGAAAGACTTGTCCAGAGCTGCTTTTGTGCCTCTTTGCGGCAACGATTTGAGCATCTCGCTTCGACTGCTGCTGACGAGCCTCCTCCTCCGCCTGCTCCGTGTGCATGAGGGACACGGGTTGAATCATTGGCTTGGGGTAGTCTCTGCCATATTCGAACGAGACTGGAGCTTCAGTGCGCGCGGCTTTCGTGCCAGATGATTGCGACCCTCCTTGCAAGGACAGTGCCACAGCACGGGCCATATTCTCATCCTCGGAATCATCCACCTGCTGACAGTCTACATCATGACCAGACGACAGCAAGAGAGCGGCGGCTTCATCGGGATTCTCCCCCGTGCGAAATAAAGCAATGGCAGCATCCTTTTCGTCGAACCCCATCGCGACCAAAGCCTGCCAGACCGAAAGAACTACATCAGAAGTTCAGGAGTTCTTGCTCACACTGCTGCTCAACGTGCGGCAACACTTGGCGTTAAGCCATGCTGTAGGGCCTAGGAACCAGAACGAACGCAGAAAAGCAATACCAACTTTGGCCTGTTGCCCACTGGCTGGTTGAATTCGCCTCGGCTTCCTGCCGAGAAGCGTCTGGAACAAGCAGACCCGGACCGGGCCTCCTTCCCCCTGACCCAACCCTTCCCCCTCTGCAAAATTTTCTGGAGCTGCAAGGAGGGTCCCGCCTGTCTGTGGCTCGTACAGGGGGAGTGCCTCAAAAACCCCCCACACCCTCCCCCCCCACCCCCCCACCCCCCCCCCCACCCCCCCCCCCCCCCACCCCCCACCCCCACCCCCCCCCCCCCCCCCCCCCCCCCCCCCCACCCCCCCCCCCCCCCCCACCCCCCCCCCCCACCCCCCCCCCCATCATCCCCCCCCCCCCCTTCCCCTTTGACCCCTCTGCCCTTCCTCCCCTTTTTTTGCGAAACCCTCTTTCCTCCTTTCCTGTCCTGGGGCCGGCCCGGCTGCCGAGGCGGCGCGCGCAAGCGTTTGCAATTATGTTGAATTCAGCACTGAGGAATTTCTTCTCGTGGCTACCGGCCCTGCCCTGCCTCCAAAGGTTGTCGAGACACACTGAATTGACCCGTTGGGGCTGGTCTCAAGCCTGTGGAACCCGCGGAAGGCGTTTGTCCATTAAGGCCCAGTCGCCAGGGTTCTCGTGCAACTGTGGAAGGCAGCGACTGCAGTTCTGGGATCCAGCGCTTGATGTATAGCGCGTCCGGATCATGCTGTGTGCCCCATTTGAGGATCTCAAGCGAACCCAGGCACTCACCGGGCAACCGCTTCTGCTTGGCAGCAGGCAAGCAGCGATATGTCCAATTGAACCAATTAGCCGTGGGCTCGTAGTCGATTAGTACAGACTCAAACCACTCTGCCGCCATGCGCCAGTCAAGTCCTAGATCAGCTATTAAAAACCATCCCGCCGTTTCTCTGCCCATGTGGTTGCAGTAGCCGGTGGTCTTCAGCTCTCGCATGAAGCAGTCAATGAAAGGAAAGCCCGTGTTTCCACTGGTCCACTTCGCCAGCTTCTCTTTGTCAGAGCTCCAGTTCCAGGAAGGTTTCAAGTTCATTGGGCCACCAATTCGGAAGATCGAAGTCCCAGCATGAATGCTTCCGAAACGAACGAAATCACGCCAGAGGAGCTCATGGATTATCCAATACGTAGACTTGTTTTTTCTTCGTTCACGCTCGTATCGCTTCACCTCCTCGTACAGCAGTCGAGGGGATAAGCATCCATGGGCTAACCACGGAGACAACTTGGACATGGATTTGTCTCGCATGCAGCTTTTCGAGGGATCCATCGTCATCGTGGCTCCAACATAGTCGAGGCCCAAGGAGTCCTCCTCCCACAAAAACTGCTCTACGCGAGCCAAAGCTGCTGTCTCACCGCCTCTCCACCACAGTTCGGCGCGTGGGTCCTTCTGCGCTGCCTCATCTGCATCAGACATATCAGACCCCATGAGTTCTGAAAGCTTTGGCGCTGCCTCTGCTCTCTTCCATCTTACGGAATCACTACCTGGGCGAAACACAGGATGCTCGTTGCGGCTGGGGCGAACGTAGCTACCTTCTTCCACTCGCTTCCTGAACGCGGTGTAGGAGTTGAAGGCCCCCCTCGGCGCTCGTGGATCAAACCGCAGATCGTCATGATGGTAAAGCTCGAAGCCCCAAAAAGTGGAGAAAGAGCTGCGGTGCCTTCCCAAGACTTGCCTGACCTCGCGCTCAACGCGAAGTTCCTCGCTGCAAATCTCCCGGAAGGCAAAGACCTCTTGAACAGAGAAGTCCTGACACAACTCTTCGAAGCAGGCCTTTGTACTGTTTCTACGCAAGTTCAACACATGACCCTTGGCTAAGAGCTTCGAAGCCAGATCTTCGACTGCTTCCAGCTGAAACCGGTTTCGAATGGTGCCTGTTTTCGGATATCCACACAGCCTGGTCTTGCCAGAGTGCCAAAAGGGATCGAAGATGTAAAGATGCAGCACCGGCAAACCTGCACTGTGTGCGGCCTTTAGGGCGGCATGATCGTGAGTCCGGAGATCTGTGCACTTGAACCATACGACATTGATTTTGATCTTGGCAGACATGAAGGGCAAAGGTTGGGGTCACGCTTGAGCTCGCAGCTGCGACGGCATGCGACACAGACACACTCCTTGCTGCGTACACCTGAACCTTCCCAGGCAGCTTGCCGCTAAGAGTGTGGCCAAAACACGCCCATCATGAAGTCGCTCTGACACAAACATATGCCTCGGGTTGCGTTTGCAACTCTTCCCTGCATGGGGGGGAGGGTTCAAGATCCAACGTGCACGGTGTGCTGGGCCCGCAACCCCTTGTTTGTCTTCCAAAGTACGAAAACATGATCCTGCACAGCAAGGCGACTGGTCAGACAGGAGGAGTGCACTGTTTTCAGGGACTTTGGAAGCAATGGGCCTCTTTGTAGGGCTTAGCAGGGCTTCACGCAGCTGTTTGGTCAGAATCAGATCTCAAAGCTCTCAACCCTTCGTGACAACTTGTCTACCGTGCAATGCAAGCTGCATGGGCGCTCAGAAGTCAGATGGTCGGAGAGTGTAGCCGAAGAGGGGGAGGGCGGGGTAGCAGTGAGAGTGGAATGAAGCTCAGTGGAGGTGGCGTGATTGATGCCCTTGGTGTCAGTATCATCATCAGCCACTCAAAGAGACGAGAGGCTTCGTCATAGCAACAGCGAACGGCCACTCTGGGATAAATGTCCCTGGCCATGCTCAGAATGGGGACATCGAAAAACGAACGGCAGGGTGGGCACGGGGAACATCCGAGTACATGCTGTTGCATTCGTGGTATCTCGTTTCGAGAACCATTTCCTGCAAAAGCGCTCTTTTGCCTTGGCAATGGCAGACAAGTGAAGTCACTGAAGTCACAGCTGCAAAGCTAAGACAAAGGCCACGCCACTGGGTATGTGATCCAATGCCCCCCTCAGCGAACACATGCGAGCATCGGGAACTCAACGCTGCACCGCGGGTCGCCTCTGTGCGGACTCCTTGACATCGACTCCAATGGGGCCGTGACAGAACCGAGGCGTCCTCTGCCGACGTTGGCTTTCCTGCGACCAGACGTGCTGCGTCTCCAACCTCAGCTCTCCACCACACGTCATCTCTCAATTCAATGCGGGATGCCGAGGCCCTCAATCAGGTCAACCAGGCTCCAGAACAGGCGGAATTCAGAAAGCGAAGCAGAGATAACTTGCAACTTGAGGTTCCTAAAACCTGCTGAAAGGAAAGGGAGCCACTTCCTCGGCTAGAGCACCATCCCCTCCGCCCTGTCAAGACGGGTCGAGGCAGTCGACTCGCAGCGGCTTGAGATTGGACAATCTCACACAAAGCTCGACTACAATACCATAGAGGTGGAAGCGCCAAACTTAGAGATGCTCCAGCCGAGCTGTCACAGCAAAAGGACGTGGGACGCACTTGCTTCTAAGGGTGGCACAGAACCAGCCAATCACTACGCAATGAGAATCTGAGGCACAGGCAGATATGGGTTCAACCTGGGGGGATGCACTACATTGCTCCAGGGAGGTAGGGGCCCCTTGGGCCATGCACAATCGTCAAAAGCCTCTTGCCCAGACGGATACTTGCGCAGCATGCTCTGGCCAAAGCACCTTGCGTGTGTAGTAGTTAGGGCGACCAAACGGTGACCATAGATAAATGTGGAGACCGATGGTCTCCCATTTCATGCTGCACATCAGATGCTCGCCTTCAACTGATTGTTAGTCTACGAGCCAAGGGGCCAGGACCAAGTCAAAGCCGGCCATGCCCCTTTGGCCAAGAATCGTGAGAAGCTTCACTAGAGTGCCATAGTGCCATAGTGTGCCTCTATCCAGTTGACATCCCTGAGTTTCAAGGCCTGATGGCATCAAGTAGTCGCATTGCTGCCCAGTCGAAGCTCTGTCCTCAAGAGCTCTCAATCATGCAAAAATAGACAAAGATCATGCAACATCATCAAAGTAGCGTTCATTAGCCATCAAGCATGCCATGGAATGCAATAGCATGCCATATGCCTGGACTGAGGGGCCTTGGTACACGTGGCCGGGCCTCAGAGCTCAGACAGAGCTGTCTGCAGAGGGAGATTTGAGGGAGCATTGAGGGAGCGTTGAGGGAGCACTCTCTCACGTCAGTGACCAGGCACCGCCAGGAAGGCATCCGCTGTTATGCCAGCGGCAGTTCCTGAAAGCCGAAGGACTCACGAGAGCAAATCACGAGTTACACCAGGCCCTGGCCAGCAACAGCAGCAGTGACCAAGGCGAGCTTGCTGCCAGAAACAGCTATCGGACCTGCTTCTGGCAATTCTGCAGGCAATCGCACGTAATTCGTCACCCAACAATTCAGTTCTCATCAATTCTCACCAGCTCTGGCCTGCGCAAGCACAAACCTTGGCATGGGCAGCTTCACATGAGCGAAGTCCAAAAGCCATCAGGGATGCTTTCCGGAAATTTCGTGCCCCCCCCCCCCCCCGGGGTACGCGTGGGGCACTTCGGCATCTTACCTTACGCGAGCTTACGCAGAAACCGTTCTTTTGACATACACACGTATTTCGTGAGGCGAAACCTGTTCCTTACGCGGACCCTTACGCATGTCGACTTTTTACTGATGGCCTGGGTTTCCGGAAGCCTCGTACGCGTTTCCTCCTTAATTACGAGTTTTTGACTGGCAACGGAACCTAGAAGCGAGCCAGTAAGAGCACGAAAGCCGAACCTTTGTGTCTTGCTCTGACTCTCTCTCTCTCTCTCTCTCTCGCTCGCTCTCTCTCATGAAAGGCAGCTTCGACACGGCAGCCCCAGCTGTAAAGACACAGCAGCTTCGAGAGGCCTGCTGATAGAACACACTCAGTCCTAAACTAGTTCAGCTGTTCCTGTAGGCAAAACTATGTCGTTTATTCCGGCAGGAAGATTTTGCTCAACCTGTTGTTGAGCCCCTCACTCTGCAACTGCGCACTGCATTCTGTCGCCATGCTTTGCATGGGGTCAAGAGTTGCTTTCGCAGGCCATCCTGGAGCTCAGCCATGGACGAGAAAGAGAGCTAAGGCAGCTAAAGCCTTAAAGCGCGTCCACTCACAAGGCAAAGGTCGAATTCTCAAGCAGGTCACCAGTATCTTCGGCGAACCTAGAGACACACCTGCTTATGGATGTTCAAACCGTCCATAGGCTACCAAGCGGCTACCACAGAACCGTTGCACCATGTTGCACCACTCATGGCACCGTCGGCACCGTAGCGCCACAAAGCGTATCCATTTTGGAGTCCATATCGGTTGTGGCCAAGTACCTGAACGTGTTCGGTACCCAATCCAAGGATGCAATGCCATTGTTTGGATTGTATCCAGTCTGTGCCTGGATATCTTCCAGGAGTGTAGCTGTGTCCGTTCTCAGGCCGGGGAGTGGGATGTAGCTTGGCGGCAAGTTCTTCATGCACACATACGCCCTCAGTGTCCTGGCCGGGTAGCCTGCACCAGCCTCTTCCAGATTGATTGTGATTTTCGAGGCATCCACGCCGCTCCACTGCTGAAGAGTAGTTTTGAATGGAGTGTCGAGGACTTGGTTTGCCTGGTGGGCCGTCCAATTTGTCGGCTCGATGATATACTGTCCTCTCACAGCCACACAGTCGCCGTTTGGTGAAGTGCAATACTCCAGGATCTGGTCGCAGTTGAACGTCGGGTGAGGCTTGCTCAGAATGTAGTGCCATGTTTCGCACTGCGTGATCACATCGGCAGAATCACATGCGTCAGTCTTGACTAGACCGGGAGGTTTTTCATCACACTTCTCTGAAAGCCATGTCCAGACGCAGACATCTGGATTCTGTATCGTCACACATCCATCGGTGGTGGTGAAACGTGGGCAATTGCCTGGACCTGTGCGGTGCCCGTGCTCAACCTGTTCGGTGCCCAGCCGCTTTTCGAGGCGCTCAGGTATTTTGATGCATGTCCTTTCTGCCGTCTCGGGATTTTGGGGGCCAAGGATTTCACCCTGTGCACACTCTGAGAAGCTGGAGCCAAAGCCCGCGTAGAGCCCATATGCAAACTTCAGCACCTCCCTTCGCTTGAGCCGATCGTAGTACTCCGCCGTCAAGGTCGTCGCAGTGTTGTTCTGGACGCTGTCATTGTAGCGGGCTGAATAGTATCGCTGTAGGTAGACATCCATAGTTGTTCCACCGTCAGAGTGGCCTGGGCTTGGCCATGTTTGCCCTCTAAAGGGTTATGAGATGCTGTATGAGAGTGTGAGATTGCGTGAGTCAGAGAATGAGTCAGAGAGAGCTACAAGCCAAAAACAAGAGTTTACTTCGACAGTGTTTATGAATGCTCCAGCCGGCAAGAGGACACCCAGGAATCCTCCCTCCACTTCGCAGGCTTGAGGATGACCGGAGGACTGTCGGAAGTTCCACCTTCGTAGCTGAAATCCTCAAGGGAAGATCTGGGGCAGAATGCTGATGAAACGCTACGGGTAGCTCGAAACGGCAGTGGGTAAATCGTCCCGCCCGCTCGCCCCCCACACCCCCCCCCATTGGCACGATTAGTCGTGTGGCGGCATTTAGAAGGCCCGAGGCTTCAGCACCCGGAAGGAATCATTCTTCCAGCGCTTTGGTGTTGCTTGTTTTAAACAAACATGTTTCGACAAACAGCGACACCTGTTGACAACACGTTTGGTTTCATTTACTTGTTTGGGTTTGACTCGTACGAACGAAGTTTTCCAAAGATCAGCAAAGCCATGAACGTGACGGAAGTTGGACAGCGTAGAGCATAGTGTGTCAGGGTGTGAAACTTGAAGTCGCTGCAACCTTTTCTGACAGAAGCTGTGTATTCAGTAGTAGTTGCATTGACAGAGACTACTCAGGCGCAGCGCGACACGACCAGCAAGAACACACATCATAGTTTTCTTCAAGGATTTCGATGCAGCTGACACACACATGGAAGCCACTCCCGGTTGTCCTGGTTTGGATTGGGGTGAGTTGGGGCAATTGGAGGGGCAAGCAAGTGAGGCAAGTGGGGCAGGACAAGAGGAACGGGCAGGGCACATGGGAGTGGGAACGGAGAGGGCAGGGCAGGGCAGCAGAGCAGGCGGGGCAAGTGGAGGCTTGGCAAATAAGTGGGGCGAACAACCTTGATTCTACCCTCCCCCTCGATACAGTGCGCATCAGGTGGGGGGCACGGTACCCCGCGCAGACCATTCACAAACTACGAAGTTTGCACGTTACTGACACTGGCGAGTTACGTGGTTGCGTAAAAACTGGCGAGTTCTCAGACTTCTTTCTAAACCGTGGCTGCGTAAGGCTGTAGTTGGGGGTGCTGCCTCATGTCCAAGATAACAAAACTACCTGTTGACATGACGTGGATTGTTGTACGTGGGTTCACACTTGTAGAATGCTCCAGCGTGCAGCTAGCCCGATGCGTGCTTCACACTCGCTTTCCCAGGGATGTACACATGTGGGGAGGCCGCCTTATGGTATGCAAGTGTGATAGAGCCATGGCTCGTCGAAAATGTGAAAACTCAATTGAAGCCAACCATGTTCCTATGTTCACGCATCCACATAATGCCCCAGTCCTGAAAGCCTCCACACAATGCCATTGCAGCTCCTCGGACATTCTGGTCGAAAGGGATCAGCCAGTAGACCAGCGCGAATGTGACCAGACCTGCATGCCGGGCTCTTTAAGGTCGCCACGACATGTCGCTTACATTGAACCCCCAAGATGCTCCGGGAATCCCATGAATCCTGAACAAATCATAAAAACACTCCCGGGCGATGTTTCTGATTTCTGCCTCCTCTCTCTTGGCCTTTATTTCACAGGTTGTGATCAGCTGTGGCCCGTTGAAATACTGCACCCCAACATTGCTGCGTGAAACTTCCAGCCGCAATTTCAGAGCTCTGAGTCGTGTTTCCGTTTTTCTAGCTGCGGCTGGTCCTGACCCGAGATGTCTTCCCGGCTCGGCTGCCACCCATCTGCAAATGGGTTAGTTCAAGAAAGCCAGTAAAGCCAATAAGAATAAATGTGGACATACTTTAAGTGTTGTCGCTGGCTGACCAGATGCAAGCGAGGATCATAAAAACACACACACACACAAGCGGACAAGCGAGTACACATCTATTTGAGACGCGGACGGAGAAAGCGGATGTCATAAACAGAGTCCCGTGGGTCAGGAGGTTTGTGGGAAGATTCCGGAAGATTTTGGAAGGGCTCCCGGTGCCCAGATTTGTTTGAAGAGAACCCGTGCACGCTGCAAAAACTCCTGTGAGCTCCGGCAAAGCTCCTTCCTGGGGTCAACAGCTGGCTGCGGCGAACTAGCAACGCTTTACATAAAGGTTTTGGCGGACCGGTAGAGAGCCTGCAGTTGAGCATGCAGTCTTCCAGTCACAAGGCAGCTACAGCCCAACTTTTGGTGTGCATCCTTATGGCATCATTGTCGGTAATTTGAAAAAAATGTGAAACTGTCGAGAGAAAACCAAACACCGCACATTGTCACATTGCGAGTTGACATGCGACACGCTCGAAGGGTTGGATGAAGGAGATCTTGAAGGGAAAAAGGACTCAGAAAGATTCCGAGGAGAATCGAAGGAAGAGTGAAGAATCTGAGGGTGGTCGAAGATTTCGCAACACCCTGGCCTGCTGTGATGGCATAGCGGACCATGTCCTTGAATGGACAGCACTTGTGACCTCTTTTCCGCTGTCCACAGGACATCGGCTGAATTTTCGGAAGGATGGATCTCAATCGCTCAGTCAGCAAGACGTTTGCAACCAACTCGTCCACGTCCATGACAAAGGCCAGGGCGACGGCATTCAAAACGATGTCTCCAAGATTTGCGGTCTGTGCCAAATACTGACAACCGATGAAACCCAAGCACAGCATGACGAAGAGCCGCGGCAGGCTCAGCAGAACCAGCGCTAGAACACGCTTCAAGCTGTTCATTCCTACTACTGCGTAGCTCTCATCTTCTCGATTCCACACGAACTCGGCCTTATCGTCTTTGGCTAATGCAGGAAGATGGATCAC